GGGGTGGGGGGGGGGTTGGGATGTTGGCAGCAGTCGCCAAGGGTGACAAGTTAGAAAGTCTCCGTGGTCCTGCCTGACCTTGATATCAGGATGTCGAAGCCCAGCCAGGTGGCTTCCACCGGTGGCAGTCCTTTCCTCCAAAGCAGTTGCGAACCCTCTGGACCGTGGGTTGCAGAGGCCATGAGAGACTCACTGATGCCTCTTGAGCAGGATTGTGTTGCTTTGTGCACTGTGTGTGGATCCCACCGTCCAGGCACAGGAGATAACAGCACCTGCCCGGGAAGGGGGCTGACCCCAGGCTGTGGGTAGGGCCTGGGGGATGCATCAGTCTTGGCTGAGTGAGGAGAGAAGGGGCTTAGAGCCGGAAAGGGGGGTTCAGGACTCAGAGCCCCTACTCCCTGAGGGAGTAATCCTGCCTGTTCTGGGTCCCTGCGTTATCATCTATTCTGTGCTCTGCTGTGTCCCTGTGACCCAATAAAACTTCTTTTCTACCTGCTGGCAGATATTCACGTCCAGCTGTGTACAGGGGGCAGGGCCTGAGGACCCCCACGCTCACCCCGAGACACCCTCCCCGGCCCATTCTGTGGGGAGGGTCACCAGGAGCAGGTTAAGTGTTGGAATGGGCTGAAGGAAATATTTGATCAGTTCTCGCCTCCCGGTGGGAACATTGGCCTGGCCCCCTGAGGTTGGGATTTCGAGGCCAAGGTGAGGGAAGCCAGGGCATCCAGAATTAGAAACCATCCAGTTGGGCCTCAGTTTCCCCATCGGCAGAAGGAGGGCAGAACACGTGGTTTCCGCCACGGGCAGGGGGCAGACACAGCTTTTGGAGCAATACGCCTTTAGAGAAACACACGATGTTCCACGGGACCAGAGAGTTGGAGGTCGGGCTTCGCACAGTCCACCCGCTGTGGGTTGGTGGAGAAGGAGAAGCCATTAGGGTGCGAATGCTGTCCATGCGCAGGGAGATGAGGGGGCTCTTTGTACAGTCCTAGTCTCCCCCCAGGTGAGATCATCGGGGGGCATGAAGCCGAGCCCCACTCCAGGCCCTACATGGCCCATCTGCTTATACAACGTGCAAACAAGTCTAGGTGTGGTGGGTTCCTGGTGAAGCCAACTGTTGTGCTGACGGCCGCTCACTGCCAGGGAGAGTAAGTGCCTCTGGGCTGGGACATGACGGCAGGTGGGGTCAGCGTGAGCAGGGGAGCTGGGAGCTCTGACCCCGGTGTAGCGGCAAGGGGTGGCCAGGTTGGGGGAGAAGAGCCCAGGGGTCTGATCTGCTCAAGGGGGTTTTATTGAGTCTCTAGGGGCCTCTCAACCCAAGGCCCAGCCCCAGCCTGGGTACATCAATGGGATTGTAGTGTGGGGCAGGGATGCGTCATAGACTCAAGACAGGTCTATGGGGTGTTGGGCTGGGGGGCTGGGCATGGACCCCTGCCTGGATCAACTGGGAGGGGGGAATTGGCTGGGGGGAATGGATGCCCAAGCTCAAAGACAACAGAATGAATCTAAGATCCTGGCCCGAGAGCCCCAGGCTGCCCCGTTCCCACAAGCCCAATGTTTATGAGCCAGAAACACGTTTCTGACCCCTGCCCCTAACACCCCACGTGCTGCTCTCAGCTTTCACAGAAGCATCACTGTCGTCCTGGGAGCCCATAACGTCAGCCAATGGGAACCGAGCCAGCAAGTGATCCCTGTGCAACGGCAGATCCCCCACCCGCAGTACAACAGGAAGACTTTAAACAACGACATCATGATACTGCAGGTACCACCCCTCCCATCCCCCGCCCCCAGTGACCTCACACTGCTGCAGGTACCACCCCTCCCATCCCCCACCCCCAGTGACCTCACACTGCTGCAGGTACCGCCCCATCCCATCCCCCACCCCCAGTGACCTCACACTGCTGCAGGTACCGCCCC